AGGACTTCCTCCTGGTTCTGTGCTCAGGGATCAGACCTGTCCAGGCTTGGGGGACCCTTGGCGAAGGAGCTGGAGACGGAGCCAGGGTGAGTCTTACGCACGGCGGGCACCTTGACCCCGGCACTCTCTCACTGGTTCCCAGAGGGGCTTTATAAACATCAAAATGACCACGCCTCTGTTCTCAAGCAATTCCTCTCAGGGTTCGCCTGCCCCCACAGGTGTTAGATCCAGGTCTGGGGCTGCTGTCCTGGAAACGCGTGGCTCAGAGTGCTGGAGGTGAGGGCTGGGGACAGGGGCAGGCTTCTTCCGCTTGAGAAGAACTACAGACCTCAGGAGAGGTGGTTGGGCACCCTCCCGACCTGACCCCCTCTAAGAACCCACCTCCTGAGGTAGGAGTTAGGAGTTTCAGTGTAGGAACCTGGGGTACAGGATGGCCTTCGGGAGCTCCACTCCTTCCCACCAGAGAGTTATTCTTGTTCTGTTCATCAGAATCTCCCAGCTTGAGGTTTGCCAACAAGCGTGTTCCCACCATGCGTTCCCAAACTCCGAACTCCTGGGACCAGAGCAATAGTATAGTACAGCAGGTGGGATATTTGTCTTGCACGTGGCTGACCCAGGTTCAATCCCTGGCATCCCAGATTGGGTCCCCCCCCCCCACACACACACACACACACCACCAGGAGTAACCTGAACATAGCCAGGTATGACCTAAAGAGCCAAAAACCAAAAAAACTGAATTCCTGGCATGTTGGGAGAGGTCTGAGCACCAACATCTCAGGGGCACCCCGAGATTCTGATAGAGTCTGATGGAACATGCAAATCAGCAGACCTTGGGATGTCTCCCTCCCTTCCCCATGTGCCTCCCCCCCCTCCCACCTCAGGCAGAGACAAGCAGGGCAGTTCTCAGTGCCCCCACAGCCACAGTGCCAGGGCAATACCTCTGGAGGAAGTTAGGGCCAAGGTGAGCAGTGGGCCATGGGTGAACTTGGCCCCCATGGCTTCAATGTGGCACCTCTGGGGTAACATCCCTGTGGTCACACCCAGATCTCATTCCTGGGCAAAGGTCACACTTCACACCGAAGTCAATCCCTGCAAAGGCCAAGGATGGAGGCTGCCCCTCACATGGAGAACCAAGTGACCATGGAGCGCTCCCCATGGTGTGTATAGACCTCAGCGTCTTCCTCCACCTGTCTTCTCTTGGGCATGTAGGTAAACATACATGGTGGCATACGAGACAGCCACCAAGAGAGACGAAACCATGGCAAATTGGGTGGAACTCGAGGGTGTCCTGGAAAGCCAGGTGTGGCGGGGGGGAAGGACAGAGAACGGATGCTCTCGCTCAGTGGCAGAATGGAAGGTAGCAGCACCAGGGAATGGTGGGTACCAAGTGTGGGCAGACCCTCAACCCTGGCTTACAGAACCAAGAATGCCAATGATGGGGGTGAGTGGTGATGACACGGGACCATTGAGCAGGGGGACCTCAGACACTTTGGTGGTGTGGAGGTAAAGTAACTGTGGCTCCCCGAAACCATCAGAGCCCACACTATGTTTAACAAGCATCCCAGATTAGCAGCATGATTTGAGTTTGCTCAAGCGGCAGAATGTGTGTGTGTGGGGGGGGGGGGGGGGGGGCTGTGGAGGGGACCTGGGGACATTGGCAGAGGGACGCTGACACTGGTGGTGGGTGTGATGTTGGCGCATTATCTGCTTGGAACTGTTATTAACTACTCAAATTGCAACACCTCGATTTTTGTTGTAATTTTTTTTTTTAAGGAGGAGAATAAGGTCTTAGCTCTTTTCAACCCATCTGCTAAATTTGAACCAACTCTCAAAAAACACATGCGATTTATGCCTTCCTTCCCGCTCTGAGTTCTGGCCGACACATCAAAGATCTCACTTCCTGCCGGGTACCGTGCTGCCTTCTGACACATTTCAGGATGTGTATATCTGAAACGGGAGGGATGCTCCATGGCCAGCCTTTCCCCTTCTGCTGCCCCACCACGCAACACCCCAGAGGCACCCGTGGCCACTCACTGGCCATGGTACCTTGAGAAGGTGTGCGCTCCTGCGCGCAGGAGGGCTTGTGTCCACTGAGGCACGAATACCGCATAGCAGCCGCCCAAATCAGTGTCTTAATTTACCAGTAAAGTATTTATAGACAGCCCGACTTGCTCAGCAGAGACAGGTCCTCAAAATAGTCCCTTCCTTCCATCGCTCCTGCCCTCTCCTCTGAGGACACCCCCCCACCCCCCGCCCCCTGCCCTGGACATCCAACTCCCTCCCAACTCTCCCCTCCACCTTAATTATTCTGTAACCACAAGCTACTAGGCTGTGGGGCTCTTGTATGCGTGTTATATGCTGGCCGGTTGAATTCTGCATTTCTCCGTGGATGTTAATCTTAATGAAGCACTTACTACATTAAAGAAAAGATGGAGATTCCAGGAGGGCGGGAGGAAGGAAGGGAGCCGAGGCAGGCAAGGACCGGTGGCCTGTAACTCAGCAGCAGGCAGCGGCTTATGAAGATCAAGTTGCGTTTCTGCTTCATGAATCATTGTCAGACAAATTAAGAACATATTGTTTCTTATTTATCTATTGTCAAGGATGCAATCTCAGGCGTTGAGAGTAAATCTTGATTTTCATAAGCTCACTTGACACTGTGGAGCCACAGAGCATAAAACTTGCATCTAATAAACAAAGTGCAGTGGGGCACGGCGGGGGTTCCTGCACTAGCCCTACACCCAGCTGCGGTCCTGCCCCCAGTCCTGAGCTCAGGATTATTCCCTGGCAGGAAGGAATTGTGGGAATAGATGAAGAATGCATGTGATTTTAAGAGAAGTGCTAGTTTTAATTTTGTAATTCTCCCAGATCTTACTTGGTGAAGGTAATGGCTTTCATTTTGGGGTGTTTTGGGTTGGTTTATTTGGGTATTTTGTTTGTTTGTTTTTGTGTTTCGCCACATCTGTTGGTGATCAGGACCTCTTCTTGGCTCTTCACTCAGGGATCACACTACCTGAGTGATCGGTAGACCGTATGTGGTGCCAGGAATCAAATTTGAGTCATCTGTGTGCAATACAAATGCCCTGCCCACTGTCCTTTCTCTCTTCACTCCTCCCTCTTTGTGTTCAGTTGAAGTCCTGGGTTTTTAGTTTTTGGTTTTTTAATTTTTTTCATCGACTTGCTCGAGCGGGCCCAGTAACGTCTCCATCGGAGACTTTGTTGTTACTGTGTTTGGCATACCGAATACGTCATGGGGAGCTTGCCAGGCTCTGCCGTGCGGGCGAGATACTCTCGGTAGCTTGCCAGGCTCTCCGAGAGGGGCGGAGGAATCGAACTCGGGTCGGCCATGTTGGCTGCGTGCAAGGCAAACGCCCTACCGCTGTGCTATCGCTCCAGCCCTAGGAGCACGCAGCCAACATGGCCGACCCGAGTTCGATTCCTCCGCCCCTCTCGGAGAGCCCGGCAAGCTACCGAGAGTATCTCGCCCACATGGCAGAGCCTGGCAAGCCACCCATGATGTATTCGATATGCCAAACACAGTAACAACAAAGTCTCCAATGGAGACGTTACTGGGCCCGCTCGAGCAAATCGATGATCAACGGGAGGGCCTTTACTTTACTTTTAATTTTTTTCAGTTCTTGGGTCATACCTGGTGATGCTCAGGAGTCACTCCTGGCTCTGCACTTAGGAATTATGGAAGTCCTGAGTCTGTACCTCCTGGTCTCCCTCCTTCCCTTCCTTTCCCTTAGGCAAGATGAGTCTGGTTAATTCTTAAGACTTCCCTGTCTTATGAGTGCCCAGACAACAGATTCGTGTACATAACTTTCACACACGTTTATTATTAATATGTGGATGGTCCTTGAAGGGCTCTGAGCTAACTGAAATTGCTAGGAGAGAAAAAAATTTTTTGATTCCTCAAGTTGAAATATGAAAAAAAATCGCATTCTACTTTGATTAAAGATAAAGCATCTCTGTTTTGAAAGGCTGACTCATGATGCATAAATCTTAAAAAAAAGGATGACAGAAAGTTAAAAATAAAGATTTTAAAGGGTATTAAAGCTACCCCAAATCCTAATTTGGATGAAAATTAGCATCACTACTGTGAAGTTTAAAAGTTACCTCAGAATTTAGGAAAAATCCTCCTTTAAAACTTATGAACCAGCTTGCTGGGGGTTCAAGTGGATTGCAAAAGGCACACAGGGAACTTATTTAGGGTGATGAAAATACCATAAAGGTCGTTCAGTCTCGTCTGTTTTAAAACAGATGCATTTATCGTGTGTGCATTCTACTTCATGGAGTTGGTTTCGGGGTGGGAGCGAGAGGTGGAGGGGTTCCAGCTGACTCTGATGGAGGGTGGTTGGTACTTGCTGGGTGGGAAGGTCTGGTTTGGTCACATATATGTAAAGAACGTGGAGCCTGTACTCCTAAAATATAAACCAGTGTTGTGAACCAGAGTTCCCTCCGCTAGAAAAACAAAACAAAACAAAACAAAACAAAACACTCTAAGAGAGCTGTGAATGCTCCACCAGAGTTGCATAAAACTTAAGAGAAGCTCTGACCTTGAACTGTAGTCCAAGGTCAAGACTTCCCCCCAACACTGCTTGTCAGCCACTCAGTAGTCAACGTGCCCAAGATGGGGAGCACAGTCAGCTAGTGTGGAGAAACTGATGCATTCGGGATGTTGGTACTGCTGGGGGTCAGCATTGGCGGGAGGACACAGTGCTCCTGTACTTGCCTGCCCTGCGGTTCTGGTCAGTGCCAGCATCTTGGGCAAGGCAACAGGCCTGGGACTCAGAGGGATTCCAAAAGCACAGTAGGTGTTTTTTTTGTTGTTTGTTTGGTTTTTTAGTCGTTGTTTTTTTGAGTTTGGGGACCACAACCAAGGTGTGCTCAGGGCTGCCTCCTGGCTCTGCACTCAGGGGTCATTCCGGATGATGCTTGGGAATCAAGCCATCGGTCGGCCCTGCAGTCTAACTTAGCCTCCCTCGGTCCCTTGTGTGCAGTTGCTTCGGAGCTCCCTGGTGAACAACAGGACGCAGGCCAAAGTGGCGGAGGAGCTGGGCATGCAGGAGTATGCCATCACCAACGACAAGACCAAGAGGCCCGTGGCACTGCGGACCAAGACCTTGGCGGACCTCTTGGAATGTGAGTCCTGCTGCCGGAAGCTTCCAAGTGGACATCAAGACCCCTGTGGGTCCTTCTTTTCTAACGCTCAGACAGAATATGTTCGGGTTAAAGCAACCTCTTTTCTTTTTCTTTTTTTCTTGTTTTTGTTTTTGCCACACCTGTTGCATGCATCAGCTCGGGGCCTTCTCCTGGCTCTGTGCTCAGGGATGATTCCTGGTGGTGCTTGGGGAACCAAAAGTAGTAACCAGTGATCAAACTCGGGTCAGCCCCATGGAGCCTCTTTTCAACTTGAATCTTTATTTCAGCCTTTCACCCATTTGTTTGAAACATCATTTGGAATTAAGACGTAAACAATGAGGGGCCCAAGTAGTAGTACAGCGGGTAAGGTATTTGCCTTGGGTTTGGCTGACCCAGATTCAATATCTCTGGCATCCCATATGGTCCCTGGACACCCTCCCTCCTCCCCCCCTCCCCCCCCCATCCCCAAGATCTCTGGGATTGATCCATGAGCTCAGAACCAGGAGTAAACTCCCAAGCACCACCGGGTATGCCCCCCCCCCCCCCCAACAAAAACAAAAAGACCTAAGCAGCAAGTCTTTACTTCATTCTGTGTTCCTGGGGTCACTACCTCACCCCACTCCAGTCTGCACCCCTCCATCCTACATCTAGAGTGTGAAAATTGGTGATGGCAAATCAGAGCCTATTTGAGACAGAAACGGGCAGTTTCCTTGGGCTCTGCTCCTCCCAATGCCCATATTTAGGAGAGCCAGCATCTATAAGGGTCTGTGCTATATTTCACCAACAGAAATGGGGCAATTTATAGATTCCATCTGCTCAAAGAGAAAGAAAACCTTAATGGTGGGTTCTAAGTAAGCAGGACAATGTATTTGTTCGGCCACCCAGCGGCCTATCTAGGAGGGGCGCAGAGGGAATAGAGGTGATTTCTTCACCACATGCTCACTATTGGTTGTTGTTTCAAATAAACTCTGATTACTATGAACAGAGAGTGTCTTTTGCAAGTAGTGAGAAGGTCTCAAAGTACTACATGTTAGTCTTTCATAGCTAACTCTGTGATCATATGTTCATGATTTTCTTGTTTCTGAGATCCCTTCGGAGTAAGCAGAACTTGCAGGGGGACCTGGCCCTTTTTGTGTGCAGGAGTTCCATGACCTCATCATATGTGGAAGCTCTCGCTCAGCCACTGAGCTGCCTCCTAGCCTGGGAATTTGCTGTTGACTGTTTGGGCTATTTTCACTAGGGACGTAGCTCAGCGATAGAGCATTTGCCTTGTTTATGTGAGGTTGGGGGTTGTGTCCTTGGAAATGAAGAAAAATAAAATGTGTCCAATATTTTTGACAGTTGGGATTGGGCTGTACGTGGCAGTGCTGAGGGTCCACTCTTAACTTTGCAGCCCAGAATTAGATCCACTCTAATCAAAACCCCAAACGTTAATACTGTTGTCACCAGGCTGTCTCAACTGTAATACAAATAAAGATGAGATGATCATGGCACAGGAAGAAGGAAGGGCCAGAAGTTGAAACCCTTGTTAAACCATGGGGTCCAGTTTTGCCTTCTGGTCAGCGTCATCAGGGCAGCGAGGGACTGTCCTCTCACGTGTTCTCTCTTCCTTCAGCGTTTATCGCCGCCCTCTACATCGATAAGGACTTGGAGTATGTTCACACTTTCATGAACGTTTGTTTCTTTCCGCGATTAAAAGTAAGTGCCTGTTTAATGGGAAGGTGTGTGTGTGTGTGTGTGTGTGTGTGTGTGTGTGTGTGTGTGTGTTTAAATTAATTCATCATGAGGTACAGTAACAAAAATTTCTTGTTTGAACTTCAATCATATGGTCATCAAACACCCATCCCTTCATCAGTGCATGTTTTTCCACCACCAAAATCCCCAGTATTCCCTCACCCCACCTCCATTCTACACCTCTCCCTGCCTGTGTGGCAGACAATTTGCAAAATACTCTTTCTCTACTTTAGTTACCTTCGATATTTTGAGACCAGTCCTGCCACCCCTCATATCTGCCGAAAATGCAATGCTAGATAATGTTTTTTATTGCTTGTTGTCTATACAATATAATGTCTTTAGGAATTTGTAAAAAACTATGCATGCTGAAGGTTGTGTGTTCGAGGGCTCTCTGGACGGCTCTATCTCACCATCTGCATTCGATGCTCTTGTGTGGCCTGGATAGGGACAGCTGTTGGCCAAGGGCAGATGAAGGAAGAAAGGAAAGCCAGGCTGGTTGGTCTTAGTTGCAGTTTTTTTCCAATCCTCTCTTCATTCACTCATGTCTCTTCCCTGCCTCTCTCTCTCCAACCTCCTTAACTCTCCATGATGACACCCCCCCCAGTCAAGTAGCTAAATCAACATAAGAAAGCCCTTCCTGAGAACCCACCAAGTTCAAGGGGAACACCACCTAAAAGGTATTCCAAAGCCCTTCCTGACTGCCCAAAGGCAAAATACCTCCTAAGGTGTTTTTCTCCATTCCTACTAGTTATTTTTGTATGGACACAGTAAGAGATAACATTGAGACTTGTAGGGCAGCTCTCCTGGGAACATCTTGCCACAGACTCAGACTACAGTGCTTAGGACAGATTAATCTTTCCTAATACTAGCAGGGTCCAAATCTAGTTATTACTTTTTGGATCATGACAGCATTTTTCCATGACCAAGCTCTTAACTTATAGTTAAGCATTATGGCACTTTGGCCAGACCCATCTCGATGCCAGGGTAGCACATAGCTTACCGCTTGCCCTGGTTCCATCCAGTCCCTCATCGGGACCCTGCTTTTGGAGGTGGTAGGAAGAAAGGGCAGCTGAGGCTTAGGTGAGAGAACAGATGCCCAGGAGGAAAATATCACTGAGAGTCACATTACAAAAGCATGTCTTCTTGTGTCCATACAAAAAGGACATTGCTCTGAATAAGCTATGCAAAGAACTTAGGGAGAAGAGAAAAACAATATTTACAAGTCAACAGAGGACAAAGAAAGAAATTACAAATACCGAGGAATGGGAGCACTGTGATGTGAGCAACCCAATAAACCTAACCTACCTAAAGCTGTGCAGGAAGGAGAAAACAGTGTTATCCAACAGAAATTCAAGGATTTTAATAATTAGGGTCTGAAGAAATCGCTGCAGCAAGTTGCTCGGGTCCGGGTCCAAGATTCGTTTATGTGTCTCTGGATCATGGCCCTATGGGAGCTTAAGTAGATGGTGAGCGGATGTGGCATCATCTCAGCATCTCATCAGGGATGGGGGGAAAGGAGAAAGGCCCACTCCTCTCCTGTCCCGCAAGACTTGAGATTTGCCGTCACCGTGACTCATACCTGGAGCTTCTTGCTGACTTGGGAAGTTTGTTTTTTTTGTTGTTGTTGTTGTTGTTTTTGGGTTTTTTTTGTTTGTTTGTTTGTTTTTGCTTTTTGGATCACACCCGGCAATGCACAGGGGTCACTCCTGGCTCTGCGCTCAGGAATTACCCCTGGCGGTGCTCAGGGGACCATATGGGATGCTGGGAATCGAACCCGGGTCGGCCGCGTGCAAGGCAAATGCCCTACCCGCTGTGCTATCGCTCCAGCCCCGGGAAGTTTGTTTTTAAATGATGATCAACTTCCCCTGCCAAGTTGTGGTATTTCACTGCCATCGGATGTTTGAATGTGGTTGTGCTGGGTGATTGCAGAACCTATCCCCGAATAACCGTGTATATGTGTTGGTGGGGGGGGCTTTCTGCAGGAGTTCATTTTGAATCAGGACTGGAACGACCCCAAATCCCAGCTGCAGCAATGCTGTTTGACTCTCCGGACAGAAGGCAAAGAGCCGGACATCCCTCTCTACAAGTATGTGCCATTGCCAGGCGTGCTGGGCCTGGGGGGTTGGGGGTGGGGTTGTATCTGGGCAAATGCGGGTCCCTTCGGGGCAATCAGAGCCCTGGGCTGAGATTTGGACTCTGACCTGGAACCCACCCCTGAAACTCTGAGCATCTCTTTGGGCCTTTCCAGCTTTCAGCTCCATGGTAAGTGGATTTTAGACTTAAGTTTCTGCCATTTTTCTTTTTTTTTCCCCCAATCTCGCAAGTGCTTTATGAACTATTGCCTGGGAGAGAGACACGCTAAGATTTCCTAGAAAAGAAAAGTGCAGATTTAATAGGTTTTTCTTTTCTTTTCTTTTTTTTCTCTTTTGGTCACACCTGGTGATGCACAGGGGTTATTCCTGGCTCTGTACTCAGGAATTACCCCTGACGGTGCTCATGGGACCATATGGGATGCTGGAAATTGAACCTGGGTTGGCCACGTGCAAGGCAAATGGCCCTACCTGCTATTGCTCCGGCCCCATGAATAGGTTTTTCTAGTAAGCATTTTGGGGGGCGCTCTCTTCTCATTTCTTGTAACTCTGATGGGCCGCACATCCAGACTAGAAGATTTTTGTTTGTTTGGGGGACACATTCAGCAGTGCTCAGGTCTTATACTGGCTCTTCACTCAGGGATCACTCATAGGCAGTGCCTGGAAGTGAACCCAGGTTAGCTGTTTACAAGACAAGCGCCCTACCTGCTGTACTCTTTCCTGCCCCTAGGTTAGATGATTATATGTGCTTGTTTGTGGGTAAACGGTTTCTCCACCCCTTCCTCCCCCCACCCCTTTGGTTCTGGTTTCTGGGCCAAACCCAGCAGTGCTGGGGACTTCCCATATCCAGTGCTCTGGGATCATCATCCCTGGTAGTGCTCAGGGGACCACTTGGTGCTGGGATGGAGTCTGGGCTGCTCCCTCCCTGCCCCCGCCACAAGCCATCTACCAACCTGGCCCTCTCTGTAATGCTGGCTTCTCTCCCTCTTGCCTGACAGATGCTCTCGGAATCTCGGGGCTCACCATGCCAAGTGGTGTTTCACTGCCATTGTGTCATTCAAGTATTGAAGCTTTCCCATCCGAGAGCGTGTATTGAATGCTACCATATACTCTCAAGTATCTTTAATGCTATGACTTTACCCTCTGAGTGGTAGCCAAAAAGTCATTCCAAAGAAGCGCAGGGCTGTGCCCATATCATAACCAGTTTTGACAAAAGCAGGAGTTTTTGTTTCTTCATTTGCGGGAGTGAGGGGGTGGGTATGAGGTGGGGGCATACCTGACTGTTCTCAGGGCATACTCCCAGCTCTTCTCTGCACTCCCAGATCACTCCTAGTGGGTTCGGGGGCACGGGGTGCCAGCAAATGAACCCTGGTCAGCCGCATGCAAGGCAAGAGCCCTACCCACTGCCCTATCGCTCCTGGCACCCCCCCCCCCCCCCAAAAAAAAAGAAAAACAAAAAACAGGAGGTTGATTCAGAAGCGGATTTTGAGACACTCATGGACCCAGAATGTGATTTCAAAGAGGATGAACCATAAGGCAGGAGGATGAAAGCGGGCGGTGCCTCGCAAAGGCTTTGTTGACTGGCTGTGACTTTTCGAAAGGTTTAAAATCCAGCTGATTTTGGTCTCGGTCACATCTGCCGGTCCTGGGTGCACAGGGGGCCATATGTTTTTCCTAGAGCTCCCACATATGAAGCAGGTACTGTACACCTCTGGGCGCCTCTCGCCCTTACCCCTAGCCTTCCTTGCCATGCACATCCATGGAAATAACTGTATTGGGGTGCGTGGGCAACCCCCCGCTGGGTTTCTCTCAGACTTCAAAACCCACGCAGGGAAAAACACCCAGGCAGCAGGCAGCGATTTTAAACTCCTTTTGTGTGTTTTTTGTTGAAGAGTTGCAACATGGTTCTCGGCTCTTTCGCCCTAGAAAAACCGAGGCCAAGAGAAGGTTGACTCACTCCGCAGCAAGCTACCACAAATCGTCCCCAGAAGCTGCCACAGCCAGACAATGTCCCCTTTCACTTACCTCTTAAGAAACAATGCCACCACCCCAGTGTTTAGAAATAGAGCCTTCATCTGTGCCTAATAACCATGATGAATATCCAAGCCCTGTATGTGAAAGGCTCCAAGTCTCCCTGCATCCAAGTGATCATTAACGTTCAATAAGTGGAACGAGGACGATGCAGTTCCCGGGGTGTGGCCTGAGGAATGCAATCAGCACCCTCCTTGCAGGCTGTCGCCCACGTCCATCCCGCGGAGTTTTATAAACACAGAGGAAATGAGTTTAGAAACTCCCCATCTCATCAATCCCCCGAATGAAAGCTCACAGGAGCAGACCGTGTCTTATCAGGATGCTGGGCTTGTTTCACCTGAACTCCTCTGAGCCTCGGTTTTAATTTCCCTTTTCCCGTGTGGTTATCAGCCTTGCCGAGTTGGTGAGATCGCTACCACACCCCCCACATCCTGAGTGCCCCCGAGTGCGGGACTGGGGCCTTTCTTTCTCACATCTTGTCATGCCCTTGGAGAGGGCCTCCAGTGTTTCTGAACCGAGTCCATTTTCCACCCTTCTGACCTGATACCAAACTCTCTAAAGGATCTGGAAAGGCTCTGAGACCACTCCAGCGTGGGAAAGCAGAGCGCGAATGGCTTCACTAGGCTCTTTGTAAATCACTGACCTTCCCTGACACATCAGGGCCTTACTCTCGTCTGTGCAATTCAGCAGATGATGGTGGAAGGAACCGGGTCACACTTTGTGGCCCAAATATGAAGATCATCGTGAGGCATCTTGGCCTAAGGGCATGGTCACGAGCACTGGACAGTCAGTGTCTAGTTGGAAAATGATATCCTTTGCAGTGATGAGAACAGCAGCAGCAACAAAACCCACTTAACTGTTACACTCCCTGATCGTGCACCCTTGGAAAGGATTTCTGAACAATGTCTCGTTTTAAGATCCACCTTCACCAAAAAAAAAAAAAAAAATATATATATATATATATATATATATATTAAGGATCCTGTTGGTGAGGAAAGTGAGCTATATATTTGTCTCCAAAATGTCTTAATGATAACAAGAAAGTAGACCATGCATTTTTTCCTTGATTCATCTGAATTCATACAAGTATGTAAATTATTCAAATTTGATTGAAAAAAAAAAAACAAAGGAAGATTTTAATCCGGAAAACTCCAATACATAAATGACATCAATGACACATTTAAAAATCAATCAATCAATAAATAAAAGACCCACCTTCAGAGCCCACTCCTAAGGCTTTGAGGAAATGAACGCCACACAGAATCACCTCACCGGAGCAGCACATCAAATGCCTGCCAGGGCAACCACAACATAAAACAAACGGGGAAGTAGCGTTTGAGCACTATTGATGGTCTTCCCTTCCCTCTCCAGGACTCTGCAGACCGTGGGGCCATCCCATGCCAGGACCTACACAGTGGCCGTTTATTTCAAGGGCGAAAGGATAGGCTGTGGGAAAGGACCGAGGTAGGAGACGCTTCTCGTTGCTTCCGTCTGACATCACAGTATGTCTCACAAGTCCCTTGCTTGGTGTGTGTGTGTGTGTGTGTGTGTGTGTCTGTCTGTCTGTCTGTGTGTATGTGTGTGTGTGTGTGTGTGTGTATGTGGTGGGCATTCCCAAACTCTCCCATCCGGGGGTGTGTGTGTATGTGTGTGTGTGTCTGTGTCTGTGTCTGTGTCTGTATGTGTGCAGTGGTGTTGGGCCCACACCTGGCAGTGCTCCGGAGTTACACTTGGCAGTAAGCCACTGCCTTACCTGCTGTGCTGTCCCTCCAGCCCCCCAGTTCTGTCTTTCTAAACTTAGCCTATATTCAAGGATCGTAGCAAAATGAATCTAAAGGATAAATGTCCCCACCAAGCCCAGCCCCAAACTTGCAAATCAGCCTTGGACCCAGGGAATGCCATAGTGTCAGGGGCGTGGGCTGCCGCAGTAGACCACACTTCCTGTGCCTCCACCCCAAGAGTCCTGTCCAGTTTCCTTCACTCCACGGAGTACCCGGCACCGATGAGAGGGTAGAGATTCAGTGTCTGAACCCTACTCACCTGAGCGTTGTGCCTGTGCAGACATCTCTAGGTGAAACGAGTTACGTACACAGACACCCTCATCTCCCTCCCTCATTTACTCTTTAAAACTGATGAGTGACTTTTGTCAGCTCTCGGTGTCTATAATTCTTTGCCCCTTTTCATTTGATACTGAAGATGTTAAAAACCTAAGAAAGACATTCTTCAAACCCAGGGTAAAGGGACGGCATTTTATGGCTGTATTAAAAGCACAGAGTGAATGGCTCCACTAGGCTCTGTGCAAATAAATAGCTCACCTTTCCTGCACACATCAGGGCCTTATTCTCATCTGTGCAATTCAGCATGTGATGGTAGAAGGAACCAGGTTAACTGGCCCAACTAGGAAGATGATCCTGTTTAATTTCGAGCCTGACTATGCGTTCTGGAGAAAAGCCTTCAAATTAAAGTGTACCTTACTTTGATTTCATTTTACAGTATTCAGCAAGCGGAAATGGGAGCAGCCATGGATGCGCTTGAGAAATGTAAGCCCATCTCTTTTTTCTAGAATTACACGTTCATAATGTAATGAGTGTTTTATGGAAAGAAAATGGGGAAATAGAAAAATGGTAAGTACTGATAAAATGGAATCTTCTCTTCATAATTATTCTCTTCACAGAGTGTAGTCGAATGTGAGCTACGTATTAAGTGGGCTTATAATGTTTTTTTCTTAAGTATCCTGAGTGCTTTTTTGTTTTGTTTAATTTTCCCTTTCCCTCTTCTGCATAGAATCCCTCTCTCGTGCAAACTGACCCCTCCCCTCCACCCCATGATCAGCCAGTGTGTTTCCATACGACTGTCTGGACCTCTCAAATCTGCAGTCCAGTTAAGGCTGTGTCTTTTGGGGTCTTGGCCCTCGCTTTGCTCCTGCAGGATGCTGAGTTCATGTCTGTGCATCTCTTTCTCATCCGCTCGTCTTGTGCAGCCTCGGGACACCAGGGCTTTCAGTTCATTCTCTCCAAATTGCTCTGTAATATTTCCTGCTGTGTGGCTTCGCAGTGTTTTATTATTATTGTCGGTATTGTTACTAGTATTGGTGGAGACTTGGCTTTTGTTTTTCACTGTCCACAGTAAGTTTCTGTAGCACCGCTTTTAGTTCTGCAGGGCACAGTCCCCAGAGGGGCATGGCAGGCTGGAGGCATTTCAGTGACATCATCAAAACCGGTCGGGAACAGTGTCGCCTTCTATACATTGAAGGCTTAAGTGCAAGGAATTCCTTGTGCCCCCCCCCCCCCCGGCCCTAAGGATTACTATGAACAAAACATGGCCATATAGTTCTGTTAGACTTCAAGTACCAGCTGAGTGTGGGTGAGCACCAAGCTCAGGAATTGGGGGTGTGGGTTTCTGGGGGTGGGGTGAAGAGGCTGCCTTAGCCAGGGGAGAGAGTCTGGGAAAGGCTAGAAGACCTAGAACCCAGTGGAAATATGCCAATGGTGGCTCCCTGGGACTGGAGGGAAGGGGGATGTGGGAGGCAGACACAGGGTTACTGGGACTGGGGTCATTGGTGTTGACTCTGCTGGGGGCCTTTTTCATCCTTTTTCCTCTTGGTGGTGCCCAGGACAGAGCCTTGAGCCTCCACACATCACAAGATATGTGCTCCACAGCTAAGCCACATCCCCGAACCCCCTGTTTTATATTAGTGTGCAATCACTTTTTTGTTTTGTTTTATGAAGTCACCATGATTTACAAAGTTATCCATCATTGAGTTTCAGGCATACAGTGTTCCTCATCATCAGCCTACAATCACTTACATAAAAGGGAGTGTCTGCGTCCCTCACCGATAGATGGTTAAAAATTCTCTTGGGACTTTTGGTTTTGCTTGCTTTTGGCCAGGCAGCCATGCTGGGGAGAGGGTTTCTCTCCAGGCCATATTCGCGTGTACATACTGGTCCAGGCGGATTGTTTAAACTGCTGGAAGGTAGCTTAGACCTGTGTATGGCATCCTTAGAGCAGGTTCTAAGATGCCCTTGGATCCAGAGATTTCCTACCTTGGTAGCAAATAATTGCCATTATGGAAATATGTCATGAAAGTTCGGAGCTGAATTTCAAGCACCACGATAAATGCAAGAACTTGATTTATAACAGCCAATAAATAGATGAATAAATCAAGCTTTGTGTTTAACAGTAGAGAAATGTTTACCATCACGGTAAATCCCTAAACACTCTCCCCCACAGCCTTTCTTTTGTCTGTCTCTTTTGGTTTTTGGGTCATATCCGGGGGTGCTCAGAACTTATATTCATGGCTCTGCACTCAGAGATCATTCCTGGTAGGGTTTGGGAGACCTTATATGGTGCCAGGGATGGAACCTGGGTCATTCAGCCACCATTTTCCCCTTTTGCAGAGATGGAGAAGGGTACTTGGGAATCTGGGGCCCTTTCTTGGTCATATTCTGCCAGCTGGTCTGGACAACAGTTTTTCAGTTTTTTTGAGTGATAGCACAGCGGTAGAGCGTTTGCCTTGCACGCAGCCAACATGGCTGACCCAAGTTCAATTCCTCCACCCCTCTCGGAGAGCCCGGTAAGCTACTGAGAGTATCTTGCCTGCACGGCAGAGCCTGGCAAGCTACCCGTGATGTATTCGATATGCCAAACACAGTAACAACAAAGTCTCCAATGAAGATGTTACTGGGCCTGCTCGAGCAAATCGATGAACAATGGGAGGACAGTGACAGTGATTGTTTTTGTTTTGGGGCCATAGCTGGTCGTGTTCAGGGGTTACTCCTGGTTCTGCACTCAGGAATTACTCCTGGGATACTCAGGGACAATATGGGATGCTGGGATCGAACCCACATTAGCCATGTGCAAAGCAAGCACCTTACCCACTGTACTATCACATCAGGCCCCTGGACACTACCAGTTCTTGAGCTGGTGGTATTGGTGGCCAGGACTTCCAGGACTGTCCAAGAGATCCTCGGCCACGTGGTGCCAGGGATCCAGCTGGGAGCCTTGCACATGTAAGGCATGTGCTCCTGATCACTGGACTGTGTCCCTTCCCACCCTGCTGAACATGTGGGACTTTGTAGGCCCAGTGGCCTGTGTCACCATGTCTGATTGGCCGCTGGTCCCACAGGCCTGGTCTGTCTGTGTTCCAGCCAATGGACGGAAAGGGTGTCGGTGTTCCTGGGAGACTTCTTCCAAACCAGTGGTGGGCTCTGAGTGGCCTGTGAGCAGAACTTTACCGCACCTTGCTTTGTACAAATGTATTGTTTCATAGCCAAAAGTAAATATATGTAGAAATATTTCATATATATGTAGGTATATAGGGCTGGAGTGATAGCACAGCGGTAGGGCGTTCGCCTTACAAGCGGCCAACATGGCTGACCCGAGTTCGATTCCTCTGCCCCTCTCGGAGAGCCCGGCAAGCTACCGAGAGTATTCGATACGCCAAACACAGTAACAACAAAGTCTCCAATGGAGACGTTACTGGGCCCGCTCGAGCAAATCGACGATCAACGGGAGGGCCTTTACCTTTACCTTATGTAGGTATATATACATATAAGTATTATACATAGATATATGTATATGGGGCTGGAGTGATAGCACAGTGGGTAGGGCATTTGCCTTGCACGTGGCCAACATGGCCAACCCGAGTTCGATTTCTCCACCCCTCTCAGAGAGCCTGGCAAGCTTCTGAGAGTATCTCGCCCGTACGGCAAAGCCTGGCAAGCTCCCCGTGATGTATTTGATATGCCAAACACAGTAACACAGTAACATCAACATATCATATTTGATATACCAAACACAGGAACAACAAGTCTCATAATGGAGATGTTACTGGGCCTGCTCAAGCAAATCGATGAACAATGGGAGGACAGTGCAGTGCAGTGCTATATGTATGTGTGTATATATATATTTTTGTTTATTTGGTTTGGGCCACACCCAGCAGTGCCCAGCGTTCAGAGATCACTCCTGGTGGTGCCGGGGAGGTAGTAAGGGGAACATATGCAGTGCTGGGAATAGAACTGAGGGTGACCCCATGCCTTAATGTTGGATGGGTGATTTGTCTAGTTCTGTCATTTATATATTTTTGAAGGTGAATAGCATGGAAAATACTTTTACTAGTATAAATGAAAAAAGTGTGACTGTATACATGTCCCTATATAGGTCGTGCTCCATGTGAGGGTAGGTCAGGGGATGATTTTAAGTGTTTATAGATATGCAGGGGCATTTATGCTATACATGGATATGTAAAGTGTGATTGTTACTTTGTAGGGAAAGGACTGTGGCAACATAATGGTTAAATTTGAACACTGGGATTTTTTTTTTAATGCAAATTCAATTTTTCAGTAGAGTTTACTGAGTAAGTAAGGATCTTTTGGAGAAATTTGCTGTACAGCCAATTCTTCCAGGTTTGCTTTTTTAAGAATAAGAGCATCTGAAATACTTGAAACCTGTGTTGTATAAAGCTCATAAGGAATCAATTTAGTGTCATTGAGGGAATGAGATTTTATTGCTCTTTTACTTTTAAGTATAGCTGTGGTTGTGATCTTGTACATAACATCTGGATTGATTTCAGCGCCTGACTTTCGGATGCGTTTCCTAGTGCCCCATCTCAGTTTCTATCCCTTCGCCACCTACGTTGAGGATGAAATGCAATATAAAAAGGGAGGCGGGTGCATTCAGGAGCATGCCATGCAGGTTCATTTACATCTGCAGCTTCCACAGGCTCAAGTTCGTCAACCAGAGATCGAAATTACATACGATATTAAGTAGGGCACATGGTTTCCGGGTAGAACACCATACTTAATCCATAGCACTGCAAGAAAATAAAAATTTTGAAATATGTGTTATGTACTTAGGCATGTTATGTAGTTATGAGAGTTGTGTCTGTACTGGAACATGTGTAGATTTTTCTTTCTTTGGATTTTGGGTACCTGCACTGGTGCAACAAGTTTGCTCCTGATACTGTTTGTGGACCAACTGATACTGGGGATTGAGTCCCAACTACAGTGTGTGCACCCCAGCTTGTTAGGCTCTCTCTGTGGCCTCAGACATTTTTCCCTTGCCCTTATTCCCTTAGCAGGGAGTCAAGCAGCTCTTGACATAGTATTTGCACAAGAGTAGGCCCTGCAGGTGATCCAGAAATGATTTAATATATTCAGGAGGATGTGCGGAGGGTCTGTGAAGATGCTATTCGGGGACCCAGAGAGAAAGCCCCAAGGACTGGAATGTGGCTTTACCTGCTGAAGGAATGGGTTCAATCCCCAGTACCACCAGGGGCAATTCTCAAGCACTGGGGTGGAGGAGCCTCTGAGTACCCCAGAGTACCCCAGCGTGTGGCCCAAGAACCAAAAAGGAAAGAAAGATTGGGCTAAATTTTTTGGTGTTGTTTGTTTGTGTTGGGGTCACACCCAGCAGTCCTCAAGGGGTCACTTTTAGCAGTCCTCAGAGGACCATATGGGATGCCAGAGATCAAACCCACGCTAGCAGGGAATGTGCCCTACCTGCTGTACTATTGTTCCGGCCCCTACACTGATATTTTATTTAAGGAAGTTGAGCACCTGAGGACTTTAGTATAGGGGTGAGGTTCTGAAACCGATTCTCCACTGATAACTCAGGGATCACTACTTATATCCACTTCCTAGGCTTCATCTTAGTAACAAAACAAACTCTTCGCCAAATGTACTATACTCTGTCATATCTGGGATTCTTTGTATTTTTCGAATATGAAGTAATTCTTCCTAGATCTGTCATCCATCCTGTACCTCGTTAGGCAGGATAGTGCCATTTTTCCTCAGTTGTACCAGTAACTCGGGTTCTCATTTGTGCCCATCCTGACATCCTATTTGTTGTGACAGTGTTCTCTTTGTTGACCAAGTATATCAAATCCCTCCCTTTCTCACTCCATTCTCGACGAGTTCTTACTCCGTTTGTGATACTTTTTATGCAACACCAATGACAACAGAATTGTAAAATTTTATTTTTATCAAAGATTTTGATGGTCAGCATTCTTACACAAGATCATACCTCATGCTAAATCTAGCTTGAATTGCCCCATTGAGTGCCATGCCTCCTTTAACCCAATACAGTACTCTGCTTGAGTTCCTGTTCATTGGGATTCTCCTGGTAAGAAATAATGATAGAAAGGTCAGGAATACTGCCTTCGAATCCCTTTTTCCATCTCATCTTTCTTGTTCTCATCAGAAGCTAATTCTTGGTTAATACGGGTGCAGTTGTGTCGTATTTTTGACATTTTGGACTTGAGCTTTGCAAAAGACACGTACTCTTATTTAACTAACTCTTTTCATATCCCTGTCTCACTGTCTCTGTGTCTCTCTCTCTCTGTCTCTGTCTGTCTGTCTCTCTCTCTGGATATTACTTATTGTTATGAAAACTATGTAAGTTATAGCACCTGGTTGGAAGCATGCGGAAACCACTTGTCTATGTTTAAATGTTTCTGTCTGGGGCCTTTTCTGCTTGAGTTCACATCCCATTTTGAGATCTCAAGTCAGGCTGGTGCTCCAGACTACTGTTGTGTTGCTGAATAATGAAGGAATAATGGAAGAAAACTAACTTTATTTGCCTTACAAAATGCAACTGTATTCCATCTGAATCTGAGTTGGTGTGTGTTTCTGCTTATTTTACATCATTCCTTGCACTTGGGGCTGTCCTTTATTAAGTATAAAATATCTCTCTTTGTGTCAGATAACTTTCCCCAGATGGCTCATCAGAAGCGGTTCATCGAACGGAAATACAGACAAGAGTTAAAAGAAATGAGGTGGGAAAGAGAGCATCAAGAGAAAGAGCCAGATGAGACCGAAGACGTCAAGAAATAGAGGCCACAGAGGTGGTGGTGTAGTTACTTGCTTAATAACTGTGACTGGAGCCCATTGAGATCTAGCCTAGTTCTCCTCCAAAAATGAATGAAGTGTAACCCTGGAAGTCCAACACAGAATCAAATCGGTATTGTTGTTGCATTGATTGACTACCCTGCTTTTTAGAATCCAGTGGTCTTTCTTATCAAGCATTTGATTTTTACTTCTGCTTAGTGGGAAATGTTTGTTTGGACGAGTGTTTGCGCATTCAGCATAAAGCTCGAGCCCAGTGATGTAGAGTGGAATAGTTCCTGTTCATCTCTCTCTGTCACTGCAGACCTCGAGGGGGAGAGAAAAATCCGTTTTCCTGAACTTCTGGACAATACTTTGCTATCGTCTGTACTTTTTTGGGAAACCTTCGGCGTAGTCACCGGATTTTTTTCCTGCCGGGTGTTGATCATTTAAACATGAATCTGGATGTCAAGCATCTTCTCAGTAGCCCATGTGGAGTCTGCCCCCTCTCTCGGTGACGAGACTTTTGTGAATGGGATTCCTTTTCTATTTCACTGGTGAAGGGGAGGCTGGGAATGGGAAATGCTGGTCTTGCAGTCATGTGTAGTCTTTGAATCATTAGAATTGTTGAGAAGTGATTGGAAACCAGGCAACACTTCAAGTGTGTAGGCCAACATTCTCTAGACAATTCCATGGAAGTCTCGGAAGCTTCTGGAATGAAAGATCCTTAAGTTCCAGCTGTTTGTTCGGTTGGGGGTGGGGGTGTGAGACGTCAAGGGAGGGCTCCTAGGTTTTATCAGTTCAAAGTGCTCTAGCAGTCAAGGGCTAAGTTACTTGGAGACATGAACTTTTTTAAGTGTTATTTTAAACTGAACATCATTGGTTTCTTATTAATAAAGGCGAAGCTTCTTTAAAAATCAACAGTGTTTTCATTTATTATCTTAGCGACTGTCGTGCATGCCTACTGTGTATGAGGCACTGTAAGTCTCCGGCCACAGTGGGAACGGACTGCTTCCTCTGGAGGGACTGGTGTGGGGGTTTGCACCAATCAGGGACCTAAAAGGTCCTGCCATGATATGATGTCAACTGTGGCCATAACTCACTGGAGAGGTAGGATGGAGACACTTTTTATTTGGGTGACCTGCAACCGGGCATAAGCCCTGAGCACAGTGAGGTATAGCCTGCTCCCGCCCATGGGATCCATAAGAAAAGGTTTACCTGGCATCTTTCATTCTCCCAGGTCTGGAATGGAGAGAGAATACTGGGATTGTGGGTAGCCATGAAAACGTTATGGCCAAGAACTAGGGAAACTATTTGGATGCTTTAAACTCCAGTACTGCCAGGGATGGAGAGATAGTACAGCGGGTAGGGTGTTGCCTTGCATGTGCTGATCTGGGTCGATCCCCGGCATTCCATACCGTCCCCTGAGCCTGCCAGGGCCAGGAGTGATCTCTGAGCACAGAGCCAGGAGTAAGCTCTCAGCACTGCCATGTGTGGCTCCAAAGTAAAAAAATCCAGAGGGTCTGAAGAGATAGCACAGCTGGTAGGGCATTTACACACAGCCGACCTGGGTTCGATTCCCAACATCCCATATGGTCCCCTGAGCACCGCCAGGAGTAACTCCTGAGTGCAGAGCCAGAAGTAACCCCTGTGCATTGCCAGGTGTGACTCAAAAAGCAAATAAATAAATAAATAAATGAAATAATAATAAAATCCAGAATTTCCATTGCATTTGCATCAGAATAATAGTAGAGCTGCTGCTGTGTTCTCTGTTCGACCAGGATGTCTCCTCTGTGTAGGTTTCTGGCCCTGTCCTGTTCTCCGTATATTTGGCTCTTGAAATATGGACAATGGGTACCTGCACTATACCTCTTGCAACGAATCCCATTCAACCCTCCGTAGGGCATGTTAACTGGCCACCAGAGCCACTGGGCCTGGTTTTCAGCCATCTTCTGCCTAACCCAAGCCAAAGTCCTTTCACCTTCCGGTTTTAGTCATGAGATAGTGGAGTGACCCTTCCCACATTAACTCAGTGCTGTGTTAAATGCTGATCATCAGAACCTAAAGAGGAATCTTGACAATCCCTGGAGTTCTCATTGAGAGAATTCATTGGAGACACACCTAGAGACAAAGGTTGCGTGACTGAGACTAGGAATGAAAAGACAGGCTAATATTTGAGTTAGCTGAACATTGGAGGTGTAAGGGAGATTGGGAGAATGGGGGGCACACTTTCATTACAAGAGAATGGAGGGATTAGGGAGGAGGATGGCAGGAAAATGGGTTAGTATCTGATTCCATGGGACATACAATGCAGGTCTGAAACAAAAAGCATTGGGGATGAGGGGTGTGTACAATACATTGAAGGTAGTACTTCCAGGTCCTGGGCCTCAGCCACGGCGCTGGATAGCCACAGCGCTGGATATTTGGGGCTAGATAATTCTTTGTTGGAAGTGACTGGTTACTCGATGCCAGTTGCTTCTCTCGCTAGCATTGATTTGCTCGAGTGGGCACCAGTAACATCTCCACTGTGAGACTTGTTGTTACTGTTTTTGGCATATTGGGATTGCCATGGGTAGCTTGCCAGGCTCTGCTGTGAGGGCGTGATACACTGTAGCTTGCTGTACTCTCCAAGAGGAAGAGAGGAATCAAACCCAGGTCAGCCGTGTGCAAGCTCTATCCGCTGTGCTGTCGCTCCAATCCTAGATGTGACAACTGAAATTATCCCCCAGACATTGCCCTAGAGGTAAGTACACTCTGGGCTGTGAAGCACTGACCTACGGGAAAGGAAGTGTATTGGATCTTACAATCAAGATACAGACAACTTGTAGACAAGGAAAGTTCTGTTTTGTTTTGTTTTGTGGTCACTCCACAAAAGGTGATGGTCAGGGTTTACTCCTGACTCTTGGCTCAGGGATCACACCTGGTGGGCTCAGGGGACCATACGAGGTCCAAATGGGGATTGAACCCCTGGTTGGCTACATGCAAGGCAAAGGCCTTCTCCAATATACTGTCTCTCTGGCCAATCTTTTTGCTGGGGAGTGGGCCACCAAGCAGTGCTCAAGGGAGCCCAGGGGCCACTCCGGGGATCCTCATCTTTGCTGTCCTGGCTGAATGGGTCAGTGCTTTGGCTCTGCCATGCTGTTGTAAAAGATATTTGTGTGGGAATATATTGAAGTCGGGTGTTTGGGCCGCATCCATAGGTGCTTGGAGTTTCTTACTGACTCTGTTTTGTTGGCCCACAGAGATGTTTAAGTTGAAATGTCAATCGGGAATAGACTGAAAAGTCCCAGTAATGGGACTGGAGAGAGCTCAGTAGGATGGAGCATGTATTTCCCACGCAGAGCTCGATATTCCATACACATCATCCGACAGTCCCTGAACACTGCTGGGAGTCACCCCTGAGCGCCACCAGGTGTGACCCCAAACAGCACTTAGTTGGCACTTGTCCATCTGCAGATAAAGCACTTTCTCCCAAGTTGGAGACAGGAAGTCATTCTAGTGATATATTACTTTCAAACTGTAGTTTTCATACATTAGGTAAAATTTATGCCCGAGAAAGTACTTAACTATCATCTGAACTATTTCATCTCTGAGAGGAGCTGTTCTGAAGCTGTTGGCCATTGGCTGCTTCAGAAATATTTCTGTCTTTAAGTTTGTGAAGTTTGGCTGAAAATTTCCTTCCAGTTCTACGAAGTGAAGAGCCTGGAATTGTGTGACCTTCAAGGGTTTGTTCTGTCTAAACTGAAAGGAAAGCCACATTTACTAAAGCTTTACAGACAAGTTCCTCATTGCCACCAGCCTCCAAATATCTGATCCCGACACTTTCATCTCATGAAAGGTAGAATGAGTATAATTGGGCATGAGACGGTTTCTTCTGTAGAGTATCAGAATAGTGAAGAGAGCAGTGGGGGGTAAGGGGTGGGTGTTGGATATACAACTGGTGCCCTTCCTTTTAAGGGAAATCCTGTTTGACTTGCTGTGAGAAACATCATTGTATGTGATTCCGCTGACACCCAGGGTTAGCTCTTACAGCTGCCGGCATTACCTTAACTACAATGGTTCCTGAGGCTCGTACTGAATGACCCTACTTAAATAGTTGTCAGTCCAACTCAATTTTAAAATAAAAATGCATTCACCCACCTCTTAGTGAGTGCTGTACTGAGACCATGCCAAGAAATTCCTTATATAGTTTTATAAATTTACTTATGGTTCAGAAATGTCCTTACCATTACAATGTTCACATCTAACAGCCATGAAATTAAGTTAGGAATCGGGGATTTAGAGAACATTTCTTCTAAAACATTTTAGCATTTATAGCATCTGTTGAGAAAGGGGACTTACAGTTTGCAGCATGCGTGTGGCTCTGTTCTCTGTGCAGCTCACGCCCTGCCATGGTTTCAGGATACGGATACACATGTCAACTCCAGTAGAATGGTGCCCAAAATCAATGTGACTGTCCCTTTCTTCCCCCTCCCCCCATCTCACTCCCATATTATATCCTAATTGTTTTTTTATTTCATTAAAACATAGTGATTTACAAAGTTATTCATCACTTGATCACTTGACATCCCGTTACTCATCGATTTGCTCGAGCTGGTGCCAGTAATGTCTCCATTCATCCCTGTCGCATGCTAGTGTAGCCCAATGGTGTCTGGTCACTCCAGGAACACGAAGAGCCTCAAACCGTTCATTCAGGGTCTTGACAAAGAAGTCTGACCATCTCGTAGGTGGGCGTTCATGCGATCTTTTGATGTCCCATGGAATCCAGTCAGTAACGGCTCTAGTCCAGCGGTCGTCACCAAATCGCGTTACATGTCCAGCCCATCTGATTTTCGACACCTTGGCAAATGAGACAGCATCCCTGATTCTTGATCGTTGATGGAGGTCAGAACTCCAGATTCCTTCTCTCACTTGAGTGAAGCGTGATACTCCAAGCATAGCTCTTTCAATTCCTCAAAGAGGAATTGAAAGTTATTCATAGTTGAGTTTTATTATTTTCTCCAATTTATTTCTGTTTTTCTTTTTCTTTTTTTTTTTAAATGAATTACCGTGAGATACCCAGTTACATGGTTGATCGTGATTGGGTTTCAGTCATATAATATTCCAGTACCCATTCCTTCAGCAGTGTACATTTCCCACCACCAATGTCCTCAGTTTTCCTCCTGCCACCCTCTTTCTCCAGCCCCAGTCTGCATCTCTGGCAGGCACTTTCCTCTTTCTTAGATCTCTCTCTCTCTCTCTCTCTCTCTCTCTCTCTCTCTCTCTCTCTCTCTCTCTCTCTCTCTGTCTCCCCTGTTTCCTTCTGGGCATTATGGTTTGCAATATAGATATTAAAAGGATATCCCTTTACCTTCTTTCAGCACTCAGTTCTTGTCCTAGAGTGATCATTTCCAACTATCTTGGTCTTACTGGTTCCTTCTCTGTCCTAAACACCCTCCCTCACCTCCCTTCCACTTGTGGCAAGCTTCCATCCATGGACCAGTTCTCTCAGTCCTTGTTTTTTCCAATACCCTTTGCATCCCCACTACCCCAACGTCAGCC